CTGTAATAAATGGAAAGCCTCTTCCCCCGGGGCAGGGAGTGGTCACCAGTGCTTGGCTGGGGCCTTCGAGGCCTTTGGGCTTTTACTCTGAGCTGACTCAGGTACTGCCTGAAAGCTGGATGGTAATGAGAGTTATCCTTTGGGGAAGTAAGCCACCTGCTCACTGCAAAACAGCGGATACAACAATTTCAGAGCAGAAAAAAAAGCAGCAGGTCTGTTGCCACTACTTTTGGAGGACATGATTTTCCCCCAAAGAGTCCATTAGCAGGAGGACAAAGAGATGTGTTGCAAGGGGAGTGATGGGAACTTCCCACTATATGTGGGGTCATTCTTTTTGCCCTTTCTTTCTCTCTTCCTTTCCTTTAACCAGTATTTCTTGAGCATCTATTATGTGTTAGACATAATTCTAGATGCTGGAGTTAGGAACGGTGCAGAAGAAGCCCTCTGAATTCCTGGAGTCTCCAGCTAAGGACATGAAGTGTCAGATACAATAGTTGCTGAATGACATAATGGAGCCATCAGGGAAGATCTGGGGAAATTGCATTGGAAGCTGAGGGAGCAACCCGTGAAGAAGAATCCCCAGTGGGGTTGAGCATGGCCCGCGGAGGAGAAGCAGCCGTCAAAGATGACGTCAGAGAGACGGGGCTGGCCGCCAGAATCCTTCTTCCTCCAGTCCAGAGCTCAGTAAAATCTCCTGGTTCTGAGCTTCTAAGGGTGGTTATTCTCTACTGCCTCAGGTTGAGGCTTGTGGGTCCACTTTTCTGATCAACGTTCTTATCAGGAAAAAAGAGCATTATATACATTCATATATCAATATACGTATTTATATTTTGTACACTATGAAACATACCCCAAGACAGAAATGAGAAGAATGAGATAAAATAAATTTATCAGCACCATTTCTAATCTTTTCCCATTCTCTAATGAACTTTGTGGTATGCCTCTTGGGGAGCATGTCTCAGACTTACTATATTCAGGATAATTTTTTTTTTAAGAATTATTCCTTTATTATAATATTTTTAAATTTTATTTATTTTTCCATAGAAGTATGAGGTATAGGCCAGAGACAGAGTGGGGAGCACAATAGGCAGATCTACTGAAATACACTGGTGAGGGGAGCAGTGGGCTAGACAGGAGAGGTCTGCTGCGCCATATGCGTTGCTCCCTGGCTGGGGATTGAACTCTGGCTGCTTTGCCGCAGGAAGGTGAGGGCAGTCTCTGTGGTAGCTCTGAGACTTAAACCCCTAGGCCATCTGGGAGGCCCCTATTCAGGATTCATTTTGATATGTATTGGGTCTTATTTCCAGAACTGGATTGTAAATTCCATTGAGTTGTGAATTCCATTAGGGTAAAAGTGGTCATGTCCTATATTTGTCCTATATTTCTCCTCCTTTTATAGGTATAAACTCCTTCCTGTCCGCTGGCCAGTTTTGATTTCTGACCAACTCCCAGACCTACAGTAACTGCCAGTTCACCTGGTAGGAGAACATCCTCATTATAGAACACTGTGGAAATTAGTCTGATATGTGTGTTCTGCATTTAAATGATTATGGACTTATTTTGTGATAAGGAAAATCATTCTGCATTCAAAATGTGGAACTGGCATATGCTCTTCACAGAGCAAGTGATTGTGAATCATTAGCATGGATTATTCACTAGGCATATGCTCGTTCTGATTGGAATCTATCTATCATCTATCAATCATCTATCTTCATTCAGCTACTTTTCCAGTTGTTCAGTCAGGGTCATGTATTACTTACTATTTGCTAGGCTCTATACTGGACACCAAGGCTATAAAATAAGTGACACTGTCCTTTAAGAACAAAATTTCTAATTATTTTCCTGAAATTTTACTAGTGACTTTTCTGACTTTGGGAAGTCACTGGCTGATCTCAATCGCCCCATTTTAAACTGAAGGGTTTGGTGATCTCATTATTTCAAAGCCTCTAAAATCAAAGGACACGAGATTTGACTTCTTAACTCAGTCACTGAATTGCTCAGTGCATGTACTTTTTACTCAGTTTCTGAATCTGTGAACTATATTATAGTTCCTCGAGCAGCTTTGAAAATGTGTATTCCAAGGACACGAGATTTGACTTCTTGTTAAAGGTCTTTCTAGGAAAAAAAGTGTTCTGTGTTCATGAACACCTAGGAAATGCTGGAGCCAATAGTTATCTTTATTATTAATATTAGTAATTAGTAATATTAGCTAACTAATATTTACTATTAGTTATATTTCTGAGTTCTCAGAAACGTTACCAATTTACTTTATGATTCTCCAAGCAGGAGATAGCAAATATGTTTCCCAAATAAGATTGACAATGGAGCCCTTTCTTCCAGAAGCATCTTTGTAGATGAATAATGTCCTCTAGAACACATTTAGGAAGTGAATTACTATATACCTTCTAATACCTTTTATTATGGCAATATTCTCTATTCTTGGATAAATTTCATGTCATAGATACCTGCTAGTTTATGTTCTAAAATAATTGTGCTGTGTGCATACAGCTAAATTTCCTTTTTCTCTTCAAGTTATGTTTCCAGTGCACTTGGTGCATGAGCCATAATCTCTCAAACCCTGAATTCATGGCCTGCAAAGGCATACATCCTATTGGCACTTTGGATAGAGCCCAGAACAAGTGTATAGTCTGTTTTGCAGAGAAAGAACTTAAAGAATAGCACAGAGGGGGTTCTTTGGGGAAAAGGCATGAAGTAAATGAACATTAGAAATTAAGGTAGATTTCTATGAAAACACAAAAAACGTATTTAACAATTTGTTCACTAAATAGCATTGGCTTTTCTGTTACAGGACTGCTCCTCCTGACCAAAACTGTTAGGACTGAGTTAACACAGCTGAGTGGATCCATGCAAAAGTCTGTGTTCAACATCTGCCATGCTAGAGATCATTAATGTTCAATTGCATTCTATAGTCTTCATGTTTCTCAACTTCATTTCATTGTCATTGCTTCGGTTGGGGATTAATCAACTACTTATGGGAAAACAAGATTTGGAGTCAGAGCAGACATAATGGGTTTCAGACATAGTGGATAAAGCAAGTCACAATTAAAAGACTCCTGATTTGTGAGAGCTTGTTGATAATGTAATTTAAGAATATCTGAGAATAAAGCTGATATAATCCACATTTCAAAAGGAAAAAGAGCATACTTGGATTTCTTGAAGAAACCAGAAGTGGTTTGAACCTAATTGCATTTGGTTTCTTTGCCACTTTACTCTTCCTTGAGAGCTATACAGAAGCTGAGATGAGAGACTCAAGATACAGGTTTCTCTGTATAAATCAGCTCCTCACTAACAATTGTGGAAATCATCCTTCCTTATTGTTTTTGAGGACAGTTGACATGACTGAAACATCCAAGTAGTAGGAAATATTAACAGCTTGATGAGGTGGGAGAAAGAAGTCTTCCATTAGGAATTATTTCAAAACCTCACAAACTACTTATATGTTTCCATTTTGCACATGTATGTGCACTGTGATTAATATTATTAGATTTAAATGTCAAATTAAATAACTAAATGATTATCATCTAAATGAACATCCTGAAAATATTTATGAATCTGTGTCAAGGGAAATGGAATATAAATTCTGAATTAATTTGAAGTATGTGGACTTAAGCAATCCAATTATGAAATGATAATAATAAATGGTATGTATCATTAATATCTTTTTTTTTTAATAGAGGCATGCTTTATTTGTTTGTTTGCTGGTTTGTTTGTTTGTTTTGTTTATACATGCACTGGGTACAGTCAGAAGCGCGGGAGGGTGAGAGAATTCACCAGAGCCAGAGCGGGGAGCAGAGCAGGCAGAAGGACCGAAGTACACTGCTGAGGGGAGCAGCGGGCGGCAGGAGAGGTCTGCACGCCATGTGGGACCCTCCTCTGGTGGCCGGGGAGCAGCCGGGGATCGAACCGGCGCCGCAGAGGCCGCGGGCAGCTTCGCAACCCAGCGCTCAACCGCTGCGCCACCGGGGAGGCCCCATTAATATCTTTTGATATATTACATCAAATAATTCTGCAGAAAACAACCAGTTATTTGCACAGTAAAATTCCAGGTCTGCAATATTAGTATCTGCTGGTTTGTCCCAAGTTATTTAAAATCCAAAATAAAAATGTTAGTATATCAGCATTATCCAAAATTGTCACACATCTTGACAAAGCTAAATCTTCCACTGAACTTCTGCTATAGCTCATAATCCCAGGACTAACATGTTCACGCAAATGATTTTTAATAATTAAAAAATCTCGGTTAAGTTTTTTGATATGTAAGCTGCCCAATGATATGGGAAAAGACGGACTAAACGCTCCCACCACCCCCACCTTGTTATTCTTTTGGGGACAACCATGCCACTCCAGATGGTGTTAGTTTGGGACTTAGCTTTGGAGAGACTTCAACAGACTAAGGCTCTGATGTCAGGATTTTGCTGCGCGCCCTCCCTCTTCTCGGCCCCCTCCTTGCAGTTCCCAGGGTAGGAAGGTGCTGAGATGGAAGCCGAGGGACGCCCGCCCACCTGCCACCACCTGTTCGCTCCTCCAGCCCTCTGCTATAAAATCTCCTCCCTCAAAGATTCATCCCGCACTCTCCAACAGCCACGACGGAAAAAACGCTCTTTCTCTATCTGAGCTTCAAGGAAAGACTTTTCTCTCTCTGAAAGGAAGTCTCCATCTTTCCCAAAGGACTTGAAAGGCCTCCCCAGAACCAACCAGACCAAATTCTGCTGCAAGGGGGTGCCTGCTCTCTTTTAATAGCACGTTGGGAAAAATGACTTTTTCTTCAGCATCTCAATTTCCCCTTTATATGGGCAAGTGAAGAGACTTTAATCTGGTTATCCAGAAGCACAGAGGAGGAGTCCCGCACTCTCCACCCTAAACTTTGCTTCCACGCGAAGTGCTTTGTGCATGACTCATTTGCTAAGGAGAGCCGCTCTGGGGAGCCGCTGGCTAGACCATCCCAAGCGCAGGTCTTGAGCGGCCGCCTGGACTCCGCGCCTCGCTTCTTCTCAGCCCGGGATGAAGTCCTGCAAGCCCAATACCCCGGCGGCTGCGGCGCGCGCCGCCCTCCCGTGCGCGGGGGGAGCCGAGTGTGCGGGCACGTGCGCCGGGGCCGGGCGCCTGGAGAGCGCGGCGCGCCGGCGCCTGGCGGCCAATGCGCGCGAGCGCCGCCGCATGCAAGGACTCAACACCGCCTTCGACCGCCTGCGCAGGGTGGTACCCCAGTGGGGCCAGGATAAAAAGCTGTCCAAATACGAGACCCTGCAGATGGCATTGAGCTACATCATGGCTCTGACCCGCATCCTGGCCGAAGCCGAGCGATTCGGCTCCGAGCGGGACTGGGTCAATCTCCACTGTGAGCGCTTCGGCCGCGACCATTACATCCAGTTCGCGGGCGCGAAGTTGCCGGGTGACAGCGAGCGCTACGGCCAGAGGCTCTTTGGCTTCCAGCCCGAGACCTTCCAGATGGCCAGTTAGGGCTCGAGGCCGCGCTGGCGCGAGATTCCCAGTAATCGCGGTCCGGAGTCGCAGCCCTCACCCTAGTGTGGCCTACGATGCAGACTTAAAAAAATCAGCAACATTTCAGGTTACTTTTATTCACATCATAGTCCTATAGACGCCAAGACTTTATTGCTTTCCTTTCCCCTCCTCAGTATTTTGTAGATTTCATTAGTGGGTCTTGTAGGTGGTTTGATTGCTGTGAAAATAATGTCTCCGTCTTCCCTTTCTGAGCTACTTTGAAAGAAAACAATCATAAAAAATTTGGATTAGGCCGCACTGCAGTTTCAGTCTAGAGAAAGAATCACTATTTTAAACTTAAGTTTATCCTGTTCGGGTGAAGTCACAGTATCCATTGTCTGTGTGTGCACCAAACAGAGCTCTTGTCCTGTTGTGTAAATGCGTTTATGCTAGTGCCTCCTCGTGTGTGCCTGCATGAAGTACTTAGATCTTTTCTTTCTTTCTTTTTTTTTTGATAGAGTACATGGGCATGAATGCTTTGTAGTTTTAAAAGTGTCTACCTTATTAAAATATAGATTTTGTAAGATATAAATAAGAACGTGAGTTTGTTTTTTCATGCCAAGTACCCTGCTAGTTTCCTGATGGCACTAAAGGTCTGAAAGGGTGATGATGCTGAGTGCTTTCCTGAGTAAAGATGTGCAATGTTTAAATCTAGTTCCACCGATTGTCAAAAGTGCTGGTTTGTAATACTTCCTTAAGAAAAGACAAACTGATGAGAGTTCAAATAATTAGCTTGAAAGTTTTCTCTTTCAACTTTGAAATATATATTTTTCATATTTTTAAATATTACATTAATCAAATTAGTATGTAGCTTTTAAGTAACTAGACCAGTCCTCCACATTTTATTTTCCTCATTAAGTCAATTACTAATCACTAATTCCATACAAGCACCCACATCATATATATGTACGTTTACATTAATATGTACATGTAGATACATATATATATCACTGAGGGAAATAGAAGATGTTGCTTTTGGAAGTGATTTTCTTTAATGAGTGCAAGTTGAGCAATAAAGCTTTCAGTATCATCAAGGCTAATAAAGATGGTAGTAAAATAATACACATGACATTCATTTGAATTACTTCTATCAATTTGTTCAACCATTGGATGAATAATCCAATCCTTTAATGTAAACAGTAATTTGTTGGTCAGCAGCTCTGCATACATTTGGGGGGATGTCTTGCTAATAATTAGGTAAGGTAGCCTCCAAATTATCTGTGCATTTGGAATTTTTGGAAGTCAACAAAAAAACCCAGTTATTCCCCAAACTCTTTCACCATGGATTCCAACAGTTAACATTAGACACAGCCACCAATTTGCAATTTATCCATGGAGCGACTCCATTAAAATTTTTGCTTTCCTTTTTATCCCTAATTATCAAAATCTATTTGGTTGGCAATGAGTGAAAATGTCTTCTCCAGTGCCTAAACATAACTTACAAAACCCATTGACAAACATGCTGAATTCCCTTTTCCTTCTGATATCTGTTAATAAGAAACTGAGGAGGACTGAGGACTTTTGCTTTCTCATTGCAGTTTAGAGAGTAAAACATTTGCCCTTTGACTTCAACAGCTCTTAGCAGACACTGGAGTGGGGCAGATAACACGGCTCTAGAAGTGATGATGCCAAGGCTTTTTTCTGTCACACTCCACTCTGCAGAATGCACTTGTATCCTTGGCAAGATTGCCAAGGATTCAGGATTGGCAAGATTCAGGATCTCTGCCTTTCTCCCGATTGAGGCCCAGTAGTCTACTTATTTAGACTTCAAAAGCTTCATTAATAGCCTCAGCGAATTTGTGGAGTTTGTGAGTGAATAAATATCCATGCTACAAAAAAAGTATTGTGTTAATTGGAGAAGGTCCCAAAATGTACTAATTGTTAGTCTTTTCTCAGGTAGGGTTACATCCTCTTCTCTGGACTATAAATACCGACTGGAAGAAAGCTGTACTATTTATTTTAACTCTACAGCTTCTAAAGCAGCTTCGACAGAATGAACCCTTCATAAATATTTCTTTTTTTCTTGATGAAATCAATTAAAATGATATTTCAATATGCCTCTCACTCCCCATCCCACTCCCCAAAAACAGTGGGAATCTGTTAAATATTATGTCTTTAGCTGCCTGTTTCTATGTGTTGGAAATCACTGGAAGCAACTTCGCTCTTACCAAATTCCTCAGCTTCTTACCCCATTCAAGGTACTATTTTTTCAGAAGACAGTTGAGGGAAAAATAAATGGATTTCAGCCATCAATCTAATCTTTTGATAAAACTCCTTAAACTTTATGTTCAGAAATCAATCATGGTTTATGGATTAGGAGCTTGAATAAAGCAACAAAAAAATCAATCATGGTTTATGGGTTAGGAACTTGAATAAAGCAACAAAAATCTTTTTGAGTTCAGATTCATATGTTATTATACAGAATAGGTTGAAGATTATCAAGTAAATTAAAGCTGCTACAATATTTGATATTGTTCTTTGAAAATCTGTGTTTTTTCTAGTTAACAACAGGGCATATTGAAATTAAAAAATATTCCTTTTCTGGGGTTCCTCTTTCTGTAAATCAGCAAATATTATCAAGCCCCTACTCATATCCAGCCTTTCGCAACATCATTCTTGTTCCTAGGTAGACACATAAAAACAACAAACGTGTACCAATTAATAAACAATCCTAAACAGAGTTGGATACTTCTACAGCTGGTACCAATAATATGTGCCCTAAGAGTCCTAAAAGGGACACTAATAAAAAGACTCCGTGCGGGCAGAGTTTCAGTCCAATGAGTTGATAACCGTGGGCTCTTGCTAGGTGTCAGCTGGAGGTTAAAGTTCCAAATCTCTGGGTCTTGAAGAACTACATACAAATGAACAGAGCAATCAATATGGGAAAGTTCACGACAGTCCGTGATTCTCAACCCTGACTGCTCATTAGCATCACACCTAAGGGTCTTGAAAAACATATCCAAATCTGGGGTCCCCAGCTCAAGAACTGACTTAATTACTCTAAGGGGAAGCCTGGCATAGACATTTTTAAAATGTTCCCCAGGTGATTTTTATGAGCTGACTGGGCCGAGAACCACTTAGTTAAAAAATGCTTGCTACGATACCATTAACTTCATTACCCAAACCAGATTATTTTGGCTTCCTATTGCTTGTATTTGTATATTTTAAGAAGGATTAGGCTATCTTTCCTAACAATACAGTACAGCCAATTTTTAAGTTAATGAGGTGACTTTTATTGAAAATCTAAAATTTCTGCTTGTAGGATAAGTGAAAAAGTATCAGGCTTTTCTGCCCTCCCGCCGTTAGGATTGATGATGGATCCTTGAGGTCCTGAATGCATGCCTGATGGCGGGCACCTGGAGTAGGGTGTGGGCATGTGTGGATGGGATTTACCTGGGCTAAGACTGGGCTTATAAGGGCGGCATCACGGGGACGCCAAGAGAGCAGAACCACGAGGGGAGCAGAGAAGCAGAAAACTCCAGGGAGTCCAGACAGAGTGAAGAGTTGCCTGCCAGCCTCCCGGCCCCTCAGCACCCCTGCCAGCTGTGTACCTGGTAAATCCCAATAAAACCCTGAAAATCCACTGAGGGCTGCAGGACTCTCTCCTCCTTCACCCATCTGCTCGGATCATAGAGATCCTGCTCTGGCCCTTCTTGCCACTATACTGCTAGATATGAGGTACATGGAGTATATATGAGTTGCAATTAATATTACAGGATTCAATGGCTAAAGCTCATTCACTTAAATGTTGCTGCGTTTCAGTAAAAGTGAGGTGTTATTTTGGACTGAATTTGACTCGACTGCACTTTCTGTTTAGGTGTCACTAAAGATATCTTTGGTTGAAAGAAATTTCAAAGTATGCAGACCATAAACATATGAACAGCATTCTCTCCTGTCTACCTACTCCCCTCTTGAATCATGAATATAGATACTAGCTTTCACTAGTGCCTTATTAAATTAACACAGGACTTGGATTGCTATTTGAAACTGATAGTGTATCTAAAACATCTGAGATGTAAGAAAACTACTGGAGAGTAAGAACTTACCCATCTCACATACTAAGTCTGGGACCAAAAAATATAACAAATCTAATAATTGAGAATAAATAAAATTTTATTTAATGAGTAAAGAAACAGTCCATCACATCCTCTACATTGTTATTTTTTTAAACATCTAGGTTGAATTAAATATTGATTTTTAACTTATTTTTCTTTTTCTAGTTGCAAATTTTCCAAACAAAACACAACCCTCAATAAATCTTTAAGGAAATATGACTAGGAAACAGGTTTCATGGAGATGACATGGTCTACCAGAGTACAGTACCATATACCTTCCAAAGAAAGACAGTTTATGCTCGCAAACATTTTAGCTTAGCAATAACTGGTTTTTAGTTCACAGACTAACACTCAAAGTACAGAGGAACAGGAATAAAAGCCAAGATCCATTAACTGTTTTCTAGTAACAAAGGCAAAATACACAGTTTATGTGATTCACGCATTTCCAAAATGGCTGCTAGGATATTTTTTTCCATTAGTATTTCGATAGCCATAAAAATACTTCAGAAAATAAGTTGACTCAAGCTTCCCAAGTTGGAAGCATACCATGTTTCTGGGGCCTTGTGTGTTTTCAAATGGAAAGTACATATTCAGGAAGAGAAAGGAATAGTTATGGTGTCACTTGATTCTAACTGGAATACACTGGCTGTGAGTGCTCCTGGTCTCCTTATTTGAAGGACACTCATGTGGACACATGCATGTCCTTTGTCGGTCCTCATGATTGAAAATTCAAACTGAATGTAGCTGAGAATGCAAAAACAGAGACCAAAGGATATGCTCAATTTTGAGGGGTCAGAGCTGTCTATTATCCTAAAGTTGATTCACTTCAATGTAAGGTCATTGACATGCTAGCATGGAATATTTCTTCACTTGGGTCTGAAACAATACAATGAAGTTGTCCCT